CCGGCCAAGATTTCCCAAGGGATATCATATCTACTAAAAAAAATCTATGTAGGTTCTTGAGTAAAAGATATTTGTTTTGAACACTAGTGTTTCATGAAACCTAATCCTCCTTAGGTTTCAGGACTGCAAACCTTGGTTCATGAAGCAAGAGCATGGTCTTGTCCTAAATATCATACCCTATCTATAGACAGTGCATGAGGTATTTGATCACTTGATGTTTTATGGTTTTAGGGATATCCAAACAACACATGAAGAAAATAGGCAGTGAGGATAACACAACTTTTACCATCAACAATTTGTCATAAGTGGAATAACAAGTGATTCCAGCCAACCATCTTTCAATTCTTGAGACCATGGCAAACAATGTTCTACTCTTGCCTTTGAGAGGCCAAGTAGCAGCCCTAGATATGTAAAAGGGAAATAACCTTTATGCAACTTAGGGTATTGGTGAACAAGTCAGTTTTATCTTCCACGGTATTTATAGGAATCATGCTTGGTTTATGATAATTAACTCCGATCTAGTGGATTCAGTAAAAGAATGATGTAGAGCCTTCAAGCGTACCAGCTGTCTAGCATCAATAGGAAAAGCAATAGGTGTCATCAATATACTACACGTAAAATAAGTGTTGTGGGGATGAGTAAGAGGTTTATGGAGCATGTCAATATCCATTGCCCTGTTTAGAACATATTTGTAATAAATCAGTATTCATCACAAAAAACAGAGGTGAAAAAAGATCATCTCGTGTAAGACCCTTTGTGCGGTAAAATTTCTTGCATGGCACACAATTTAGAAGAATGATGAAGGACCATTGCTATTAATTAGATCAATCCAATCCTCCTTTGACCAAAGTTTTTGGCCTTGAGGATCTAAAGTATGACATTCTGCTTGGCCATATAAAATCCCTTCTGAAGTAAATTTTAGCACAAGAATTTCCTCTCTTGACTTGTGGCACCGATGCAAATATTCATAGTTCTAAGCAATATAATCTTGAATAGATCTCTCCCTAAGGAAACCTCGCTAGTTTGAGCGCACAAGCTAAAGAATGACCTTTCACGATCTGTTCCCAGAAGATAAGTAACTCTTGAGTGTGCTATTAAGAAACGAAATGTGTGTATAATCATTAAGGATAATGTGCAACCACTTGGGAATGAGAGGGATAAAGATGAACATATTACCATCGTAGATGTCTTGAATCAATTGTTCCTTGAAAGCATCCTAAAAAAAGAAGCCTTTCCATCAAGCTCGGAGACTTCCACCCGATCCTTGTTTTGGAGCATGGCAATGTAATTGTGTCTGTAGGTAATGGAAGCATTTTTGCAAGAAAGTGTTTTCATCACCCAACTATACCCACTTAATACTCCATCTCTGTCTCCAGTAGGTTTTTCGGCTTTACAAAACCTGTAAAAGTTGTTCCTTGAGAAAAAAAATAGCATTTCATTCTGTCAAGGAAAGAGATCAGAATTCTTTGAAGAGGTCCAATAGAAAGATACTGCCATTCACATTTGAATAAGTCCTTTTAGACTTGAAAGGGACTTGGACCAAAATTTTAAAACCATACTCACATTTTAAATCTAGCAATAAGAGGTTTAGCAAAATCCTCGGAACCCATAGGGATAGCTCAACCATTTTGAAGCACCTCATTCAAGGGAGGCGTGTTGCAACCAGAAACTCCCAAATATGAAGACTCTAGCTTTAGGAATGCCAGTACCAATTCGAATCACACAAGCCAAATGATTAGAAATGGATTTGGTGAGAGGAATTGCATTGGAAGTAGGAAAATAAGTCATCCATGAAGCAGAGGTGAAAACAAATCTAGTTACTCAAGAAGAGGCCTCTCTTGCATGTTGCTTCAAGTAAAACTCCCGCCTTTAAGAAGAAGGCCAACTAGCCCTAAATTATTGATGGCCTCCTTAAAGAGCAACATGCCATAAATATCTCTACCTCACATGTTTCTGTCAAAAGTATCCCCAGTAAAATTGAATTCACCCATGAAAATCTAGTCAATGTCATCGGGAATTTGGATGTTTGAAAACCAATTAATGAATTTTGCTTTCCCGTAAGGGTGACAAGACACATATATATTACTTTAAATTATTATGAAGAGCCGTCATTCTAGACCACAAGAACCCCGCCAGAAGCACCGACCGAAGGAAAAATGCTCACATTTGCTAAATCTTCTTGGGACAATACGCCAAATAAACAAAATCTCGTTGACTCTTGCAAGCACAAAATATATAAACCACTTTCCTTGATTTATTACCAAATTAAGGTATTCCATTTATTTGCATCTGTCCGCGGACAGGGCGACCAGGGCGACCATTCCGCGGACACTGATGCGGGAGCCGTCCATCTAACTGTAGCCTCATACAATCCAAACCACGTTTCAGCAAACCAGACATATTACATACAAATCGGTTGTTTTACATATAAACCGGACGAAAGCATTTACATTTTTCAGACATATTTCAACTAACTATGCCGGACTATGCTACTATTTTAACCTAGTATATCGCCAGCCGCAGCTGAGCTCCATTCCCACGACATGTCTTCCCCATGTCCGGCAGCAAGCTCACCGGATCGCCGTGAGCCCCGGAAAATATGCTTATTTAGTGGAAGGGGAAGAGTAGCCTCCACTTCCGTAAAGCACCGATCAAGATTGGAAAGGGCGCAAGAGAGGGAAAGGGTTTATGGTTAGGCCAGTGTTGTCGGACGTGTGCGTGGCACTGGTCTGGACTCCGGCACCCCTTCTCCCCTGCTTGCTTCTGATTTGCGGGAAAAAGACATCTGGACCGGCCTGCAGACGGATATAGGCCCACATTAAGTTGCAAAACACGTTGGAACCGTACGATTTAAACATATGCGGACGATTTAAGAGTCCGCGTTAAAAATGGCCATAGTTAATATATGTTGAGGGTCCGCGTTGTGACTTGTGAGAAGCGGCTTCGTCAAATTTGAAGCTCGCAGCTCTGGTCTTCTTTAAATATTGACGTTTGTGAACGCTCCTTTTGAAAAAGCTTGTTATTGACTTCTTCAACGTTGACCTATAAAGACAGGAGACCAGTCCGCGGACGCGGATGTGGAAGGCGGTCACCCAACGCTGTCCGCATACATTTCAAGTCGGGTTTCAGCTAACCAGACGAAATTCATGTAAACATCAAATTTGGATAGAAAATAGCACATTCGTACATACCATGCAAATAAGTCTAGCATAACAATAGTTCAAATTCGGCGAGATTAACTGGATATTCAAGAATTTTTTCATGAACGGATCATGTCGTCTCACACATACTGCCCCTTCAACTTTATCCACGAATGTATGTACCTAAATTGCCGTCCCTCTATCCTATGGTATATCATGACAACGCGTGTGAGCTACACGATGCGTAGAGCAACATTGAGTGAATGAATGATTCAATCGACAAGTTGAGCAAGAAGAACCAAAATTACAATCTCCTCGGCTGCCACGCGCAATGACCACCTTACCTCCAGCATATCAACCGCGCCACAAAATTTGGTGACGTTGGTCTGGATGGCGTGGCAACGATATGATAATGACCTCACCTTGCAATCATGGATGATGTGCATGTCATAGGGCGCAATGTGTTTTCACGCGTGAAACAAATCATGCACGCGCTGCTAGAAGGGCCCCCATCTGCTCTTGCCTACGAAATCGACCAACCACACATCGCCACAACAACTTATCATCCATGGTCAAGTACTCCGCTATCTACTCTAAGAAACAACATGGCGTTCGAAAATAAGCTCAATGGTATTTGACAGAACACCTACTGGGCTTGGTGACCGCCATGGACGACATCGGCAGGGTGGAGTGTACCTGCCTACAGACGGTTCCGGGGTGAACGCCACCGTCATAAAAGGCGAGTGGGCGCGTCGGTGCTGGTTGTGGAGGTCCGCCAACGATTGTGTACCGGCTGGAGAGGTACATCGACGGTGCCAGAGGAGGAGGACGCGGATGCAAAGTCAGGGGGGAGAAGGGGCGGATTGGAAG